AAAAATGACTTGAGACTTGACTTGACTTGACAAAGAAAGACTCGTGACTTGACTTGACTTGACAAAATTGACATTAACAAAATAGTTTTGTCATAGTTCCAAACATTTTTTTGGTGCACCCACTAGTTTATTATCGGGTGATGACTGATTGAAACTTGACTGGAGAGAAGTCCGTAAATCCCACCGCGCACCGAGCTGAGCTCAGACTGACTACTCAACACGGAACCTGGCGCTTTGTGCCTGCCATGCGTGGTTTTGTGCATAGTCTGATCACCCTCCGTTAACATACATGTACATGTATCTTCAACATTGCTTCATATTGTTTAAATGCTGTGTACTTATAACATGTTGCAAAAGGTTTTAACGACTGGAACAATGACTATGATATAGTTTATGAGAGGCAAGAATTCACATCACAAAGCAAAAAATGCTTTAGAAATGGTTTGTTTAACTCCTTCAAAAAATCATTATTTTTTTCAAAAGAATTTAAAAACTGATAATGAATTCTCTAAAGACATTTTGCTCAACAAAAAATGTGTATGGAAAAAGTGCGAAAACCCATTAGCGCCACTGCAAGTATATATGTTACAGATTATGTAATTCGTTATTACGGATTATTAATTCGTTATAACGGATTATTAATTCCTTATCACGGATTATTTAAGTCGTTATTACGGATTATTAATTCGTTATTACGGATTATTAATTCGTTATTACGAATTATTAATTCGTTATAACGGATAACTAATTCGTTATTACGGATTATTAATTCGTTATTACGGATTATTAATTCGTTATTACGGATTATTAATTCGTTATTACGAATTATTAATTCGTTATAACGGATTACTAATTCGTTAATACGGATTATTAATTCGTTATTACGGATTATTTAATTCGTTATTACGGATTATTAATTCGTTATTACGGATTATTTAATTCGTTATTACGGATTATTTAATTCATTATTACGGATTATTAATTCGTTATTACGAATTAAGTCTGATGTTCTCACACGTGACCAGGGGCCTATGTATATAACGCCGCTAGGCGGCGCTATCTTTGCATACAAGGTTTGCACTCCTGTGCCATACTTGCCGAGTAATGACTCAGAACGTATGAGTAATTCGTAATAACGAATTAATAATCCGTAACAACAAATTAAATAATCCGTAATAACGAATTAAATAATCCGTAATAATGAATTAAATAATCCGTTATAACGAATTAATAATCCGTAATAACGAGTTAATAATCCGTAATAACGAATTAATAATCCATTATAATGAGTTTAATCCGTAATAACAAATTAAATAATCCGTTATAACAAATTAATAATCCGTAATAACGAGTTAATAATCCGTAATAACGAATTACATAATCCGTTATAATGAATTAGTAATCCGTGATAACGAATTAAATAATCTGTAATAACGAATTAATAATCCGTTATAACGAATTAATAATCCGTAATAACGAATTAATAATCCGTAATAACGAATTAAATAATCCGTTATAACGGATTAGTAATCCTAATAACGAATTAAATAATCCGTAATAACGAATTAATAATCCGTTATTACGAATTAGTAATCCGTAATAACGAATTAATAATCCGTAATAACGAATTAAATAATCCGCAACATATATACTTGCAGTGGCGCTAATGGGCTTTCGTAAAAAGAATGTTTTATAAGTATGAAAACTGTACTTAAATTCTCCTAACATAATGAACACTTCGGCACTTGCACATGTAAACTGGTTCCCGTACATCTTCCCGCCCTACACCGCATGTTAGCGACTATTCAGATGGGAACCATGCTACCGTTAGAGCAAACTAATGCCTCGAACACACCACATGTACATGTACGTTACCGCTCGGCTAGGCTTCGTGCGTCAACATGTCTGCCCCGACAAGTTCGCGTCCGAAGGTGGTGACCTTTGGTTTCAAAGATTTTGAAATGTCTTCAAAGAAGCGGAATATTTTGCAGAACGATGTCAATAAAGAATAATGGAGAAATGGTACATTGTGTCATTTGAATTCTGATATACGTAACTGTGTAATACATTTGAAATTGACTCGGGACTTGAGTTTTGACATGAAAATTTGGCAAGTTGGTGCTATAATTGAAAAAAAAAAATTGACTTGAAATTTGTAAAAATTTGACTTGAGACTTGACTTGATTTGGAAAAATTTGACTTGAGACTTGACTTGACTTGAAAAAATTTGACTTGTGACTTGGGAAAAAATGACTTGAGACGAGACTTGACTTGGGAAAAAATGACTTGGTTACTTGGTTACAACACTGCATAGGCATACTACAAAGTCCTATATCTACAGAACTGTTGGTCCGATTGGGTTAAAACTTGGTATGTAGGTAGACCGGGATGTGTTATAGATGAAATTGAGGTGATGTCATGATGATGTCATCGTGTGATTTTATATTAATTTTTTGAAATTTTGGACCTTTAAGCCATATCTCACGAACGCAACAGGCAAAATTAAAATTCTTTTGGTATTATGTTTGTTGGGTAATAGGTATATTCTAAAAGTAGTGAAAATTGTGTGACATCATTATGACGTCATCAAAAATGCGATTTTTTAAAACACATACAAGAGAATGTCTGATCGTCATGAATCTTGGTAGGTGGGTAGATAATAGCACTAGTACTCAAAATCTGAAATGATGTCACAACGACGTCATTGGTATATTTTTTATGATTCTTTAAATATTGACAATTTTATTCCGCTTACAAAATTTAAAACTTTCATTCGTCTGATTGGCTTCAAACTTGGTACAGACTAAAAACTACAATTAAATAATATGCACTGCCAAGTGACATCATGATTACGTCATCACAGGGCATGTGACACCATCTTAAATGTGCAAACTTTAAGATCCTATATCTAAAGAACTGTTGTCTACGAAAGCCCATTAGCGCCACTGCAAGTATATATGTTGCGGATTATTTAATTCGTTATTACGGATAATTAATTTGTTATTACGGACTACTAATTCGTTATAATGGATTATTAATTCGTTATTACGGATTTTTTAATTCGTTATTATGGATTACTAATTCGTTATAACGGATTATTTAATTCGTTATTATGGATTATTAATTCGTTATTACGGATTATTAATTCGTTATTACGGATTATTAATTCGTTATTACGGATTATTAATTCGTTATAAAGATTATTAATTCTTTATTACGGATTATTAATTCGTTATTACGGATTATTAATTCGTTATTACGGATTATTAATTCGTTATTACGGATTATAATTCGTTATTACGGATTATTAATTCGTTATTACGGATTATTTAATTCGTTATTACGGATTATTAATTCGTTATTACGGATTATTTAATTCGTTATTACGGATTATTAATTCGTTATTACGGATTATTTACTTTGTTATTACGGATTATTAATTCGTTATTACAAATTAAGTCTGATGTTCTCACACGTGGAGAGCACGTGACCAGGGGCCTATGTATATAGCGCCGCTAGGCGGCGCTATCTTTGCATACAATGTTTGCTTTACACCGGCACCAAATAAAACGCTCGCACTCCTCCATACTTGCCGAGTAATGACTCAGAACGTATGAGTAATTCGTAATAACGAATTAATAATCCGTAATAACGAATTAAATAATCCGTAATAACGAATTAATAATCCGTAATAACGAATTAGTAATCCGTTGTAACGAATTAATAATCCGTAATAACGAATTAAATAATCCGTAATAACGAATTAGTAATCCGTTGCAACGAATTAATAATCCGTAATAACGAATTAAATAATCCGTAATAACAAATTAATAATCTGTAATAACGAATTAAATAATCCGTAATAACGAATTAATAATCCGTAATAACGAATTACATAATGTGTAACATATATACTTGCTGTGGCGCTAATGGGCTTTCGTAGTTGTCCAATAGGGTTGAAACTCGGTATGTAGGTAGGCCGGGATGTGTTATGTAAAAATAGCCAGGGACATGTTATTGATTAAAAAAAAAAAAGCAAAATGCGGAAAAGCTTTATGTTCTGTTGCAAACAGACATAGATCTCTCGTTTTTATTTCCTCCAGAAAGATCTAAAAGGTTTCTTTATCTAGTAACTCACAAAAACCAAAAAAGAAAAGGACTCTAAGCAAAACAGTCAGTAGATATTTTGTTTTAATCCAGTAATTTTGGAAAACTACTTTAATTTTTTGTTACAATAAGACAAATTCTTTTTCTTTTGCAAGAGTGGATGCAGACTGATCCATTATAATCATTTATTTAATCATCTTGTTTTTCTTTTTTAAAAAGAACTGTTTATGTCAAGTTTGGAAAGATTATTCCTAATATTTTTTTTTTTTTTAAAAGGGGAATGTCACATCTCCACCCATCACGTCACTTGCCCAACATGGCTGATTAAAGAAGTGAAAGTTAAGAAGTAGCTGTGCGTATTCCTAACTAATCTGCATACGACATGCCGTGCGAAAAACTTTTTTTTACTCCTTGCAGTATTTCACAAGCATAATTCCTTGAATTTTTTGTAAGTTTTCTTGGAGAGTAAGCAAGAATGGGTTTATGCTTGTCATCGCTGCAGCCAGCCACACTTTATTGCAAGCTAGCATAACTGTATTTTGCTGCGTTTCGTACATACACACATCGTGTACATGCACAATGTGCTGGTTCATACTTCTCGACAAATTCCCATTGCGCCCCCCCCCCCCCCCCCCCCGAAAAACCAATCCAACATTTGCCGCTTGCCAAGGAAGTATCTTTTTGAGTAATTAAACAGAAGAGGAATATAGATGACTTATTTTACTTTCTTTAACCATACGGCTGTATGAAATGTGAATACATGTTAATTGATAAAACACCCTCTAATGCTATGGCCAGGTGTCAGAAGAAAAAAATTTTCTGAAGAAATTTTTTTTTACAAAACAAAGGCCATTTCAGAAAGTGTTCAAATACACCCTAACAAATGCTCTTACCTGTTCAGATGTGTAGCACAGTTTGTTGCTCGTAGCCATATTATTTCGAATGTACTGTTTAGACAACTGAGTAAAGTCATCTACTACTACAGAAAATAAACGACGACCTCTGGGCCTGTGTTCAATAGATGGCAGGGTTACAGCAGGTGATGTTGGCAAGGGCAATAGACGCAAGTTGGGTATCTGTGTGAAAGAAATTTCCTTAGTAATTATAACAATAACAAGGTATTATTGGTCAGTATTGGAACACTTTGTGGGGAATATAATTATATAATATTGGATGGCTTTGAGGTGGATACAGAATTTACTGAATGAGTAATGACAATTGAGAGCTTTTTTATTCACAACTATAGACCAGTGCCTTTGAATGGATTCCAGAGAAAGTGCACGTTTGCAGCAATAGGGCCACAGATTTCCCAAGTGTCCTCTGGATAAGGGCGACATGCCTCATTGGGGTGACAATTTGGTGGCGCCCTATCGTTCAAACAACCCTCAGGACAAGGAATTTTTCTGGCGCAACCCATCCAAAATCGATTCCTTGTGGTCCAACTAGCATAAATACTGAATTTTGTGGAAAAAGGATTAGGTAACTTGGATTAGGTGACAGTTTAGGTGTGTACACAAGTCTACGGTGTGTCACCCTATTATAGCATTAGTTATTATTATTATTATAATTACTATTATTATTTATATCAGGCTTCCAGCGGTAAAAATAAATCAGCGTATTGTATGCTTTCATAAAAAGTTCCGGATGACTACAATAATAAAGTACCCGGTTGACTGCAATAACATTATTATTGCAGTCATCTGGGCATTTTCACTGGTTCCTGCTTGATCAAGAGCATAGAAAGTCACAGTTGTCAACCACTCAACAGAGCCTAGCGCGCGAGTACCGTTGAACACAGAACACGCCGCTCGCATGCAGCGTGCATGCAGTGCACAGAAGGCCAGCTGTACGCGCACTGTTGTCAACAACTGCAGCTTCAAAACATTTGATGTAAACGAAAAAGATGTACGGTAATGAAGACAGTGTCTTGAATTGCGCTTCTTGCGGATCAAGTCAGCCTAATATAAATAATAATAATAATATTGGATTGCTTGTTTTCGGTGGATACAAGAATAAATTGCCGTCGCTATGACAATATTGCACGAGTCTTCGACTCGTGCAATATTGTCATAGCTCGTGCAATATTTTCTTATATCCACCTTAAAGCCATCCAATATTATATAATTATTATATTGCACCTTCATTTCTCATTTTCTGAAATGGCCTTTTTGTTATATTTTTTTTTTTTCTTTTCCAGACTTTCGTCCATAGCATTTATACGCGTTTTATCGTGCCCGAAACTTTGGGCACTTAAATCAATCCAATTGCCTTTATACTTGGCACACACTTAGACCAGCACCAGTCACTGTGTGCCGAACATTGAGGTCATCATGACGTCATCACGAGTCATGTGATGTCACAATATAGGTGCGAGTCACGATGACGTCATCACATAGCATGTGACGTCATATTAAAAGTGCATATTTTGAAGGCCTATATCTCCAGAATTACAGGTCTGATTTGGTTGAAACCTGGTTTGTACCTAAACCGGGATGTGTTATAGATGAAAATTGAAGTGATGTCACGATGAGTCACATGATGTCACGGTAAAGATTAATAGATGTAATCTTTGATAATGCATAAACAAGAGGTGACGTCATCATGATGTCATCGTGTGATTGTATACATATTTTTAAATTTTTAGGCCATATCTCATGAAACACCATATCTCATGAACACAACATGCAAAATTCGCAATTCTTTTTGTATTAGGCTTATTAGGTAATAGATATATACACATAATTGTTTAGAATGTGTGTTGTCATGATGACGTCATCAAAAACGTGATTTTTGAAAACACTTAAAAGGGACAGTCCGATCGTCATTAAACTTGGTGGATAGCTAGATAATGGTACTAGTATGCAAAATCCGAAATGACGTCACTATGACGTCATCGGTTGATTTTTTTTAATGATTTTTTAATATTTACAATTTCATTCCGCTTCCAAATTTCACACTTCCTTTCACTGGATTGACTTCAAACTTAGTACAAACCAAGACCACAATGCAAAAATGTGTATTGACAAGTGTTATCAAGATGACGTCATCGCAGGGCATGTGACGTCATAACATGCCAAATCCGAAGCCACGTCAACATGATAATTAATTATTTATATTTTATATCTATTAGCTATACTAGCTCAATATATTACTTTTTAAGGACTTTGAACCAACAAAAACTGCACATTTGCAAAAAAACATAAAGTCATACAAAAATGATAAGTGGAAAAGCCATTTATTTAGTTTTCAAATAGACATAGACCTCTAGTTTCTTCTTCCTTTTTGCTGCCGCAAAATCCCATAGACATTGTACAAGTCTTTTTCAGCATGCACTTTTACCATTCATCTTTGTCATACATCATTCAAATGCACCATAGGCATAGTCCTTATAGCATAGATGTCCCCCGAAGAGTGGCCTCATGGTGACTTCATCATGGGTCATGTGACGTCATGTTAAAGATTTCTAGATTTAATCTTTGAAATCAATATGAAATCAACCATAGGAGACCTGAGCTTGATTTTTGCTGGAATTGACTGAATAATATGGGATCTTTATTCTATCTCGCAAGAACCAAACCATGTGACCCTTCTTTCCAGTCCAAACCAGATGTGCCTTATAATTTAAATTTGGAAAAAGATGTGAACTTGCTTTCAACGATTTTAGTCTATGGCTAGGTTGTACTTCACAAAATCAAATTACCGGTGACATCATAACATATTAGAGCACCCTCTAGCAGCAGGTCAAAAAATGATAATAATTAGTTGATGTATGTGGTGAAATTTGCTGAAATTACTTTATAATTGATGCATATAATCAGCTTTAAGCTAAAAAAAAGTTAAGGGGGAGAAAGATTTATGACATCAAGTGACCGGAAGTTACAATAAAAAGACCTTTTAACATTGAAAATTGCTAAAAAATCAACCGTGACAGATAATTTTTTTAACCAGGGTTTCCTACGGAGATTTCACCTTATCTTTGCTTTTGGCCAGCAAACTTATGTGCTGAGTTGGAAGATGGGCGCCTCCAGAACCTGTAGTGATCAATATCCTGTTTATAAAAACTTTGTGGGAAACTTGCGTTTTTGTGACACTTTCACTCACAATGTGTTTCACTCACAATGAAAATTGAAGTGATATCATGATGACGATACCACATGACATGTGATGTCACCTTAAAGGAGCAGTTTTCTAAGGCCTATATCTACAGAACTAAATAATGGTGCTGTCGCGAGAGCTACAATCCCTGCCAAAATGGTTGGGACACTTCCTTAGCCTCTCACTGTCACCCACTCCCCTGCTCCTCTGGTCAATGTTGTTCTCTCCAGCTGATGGAGCACGCTCCGCATCATGAGAGAAAACATTGAGTGTGTGCTAGGGGGGTTGGGGGCCCATTGAGATTGTAGACAGGTTTTTCCCATTGCGGGAATTTCACTTTATAAATTTCATTTTTTTCTACCTTTTTAACTGCCCATCTCCGTTTTTTACTTGTGTGTGGACACTTTTAACATCTTCTAGGACCGGTACAGGGACGTATTTTTACATTTTCATACTGTTTTGGGATTTTTGTTACTTGTTTTTAACCTGTTGGAAATAGTGACTGTGGCGTATAGACAGTGTTGTTGACTCGAGTCGCTGACTCGGACTCGAGTTGGACTCGAGTCGCTATTTTTCAGACTTGAGACTTGACTTGACTTGGAAAAAAAATGACTTGAGACTTGGCTTGACTTGACTAAGAAAGACTCGTGACTTGACTTGACTTGACAAAATTGACATTAACAAAATAGTTTTGTCATAGTTTCAAAAAATCATTATGTTTTTCAAAAGAATTTAAAAACTGATAATGAATTCTCTAAAGACATTTTGCTCAACAATAAATGTGTATGGAAAAAGAATGTTTTATAAGTATGAAAACTGTACTTAAATTCTCCTAACATAATGAACACTTCGGCACTTGCACATGTAATCAGGTTCCCATACATCTGCCGCCCTACACTGCATATTAGCGACTATTCAGACGGGAACCATGCTACCGTTAGAGTAAACTAATGCTTCGAACACACATGTACATGTACATGTACGTACATACGTTACTGCGTGGCTAGGCTTCGTGCGTCAACGTAACATGTCTGCCCCGACAAGTTCACATCCGACTGACTCGGGACTTGAGTTTTGACATGAAAATTTGGCAAGTTGGTGGTATAATTGAAAAAAAATTGACTTGAAACTTGTAAAAATTTGACTTAAGACTTGACTTGACTTGTAAAAATTTGACTTGAGACTTGACTCGACTTGAAAAATTTGACTTGTGACTTGACTTGACTTGGGAAAAAATTATTTCGGTTGTACATCTTGTTGATTGGATTGGGAAATGATTTCAACACAACCCGGGCCCACCATCTCCTTCATCGACTCTGCTTGATGACCCACCTGTGCCATGTGCCATCTGTGTTGACGAAGTAGGCCATTATCCAGTCAAGGGCATATGGTTTGATGAATGTAAGAAATGGAACCATGCTTCTTGCATTAACATGGGCAATAAAACATACAACTTTCTTGCGAACTCAAGTATTTCATCGATTTTTGCTGAATGTGGACGGCCAAATTGAGTCCAACAACTCCAAATTTCGTCTAATTGACCCTGACCGGTCACTTAGTCATGAACAACCACTGGCATCATCATCACCCAAGAGCCTGAGTGGAGCTTCTACTACAAGATCAACAAATAAACCCAAACCCAACAAAAAGCCTAGTACTAGAGCAAAACAAACTGACAGTCCTTGTTGGAACTGGCGTTCCATATAGTGCGATTAGTGAGCATTAGCCGTCGACAGAGGGCGCGCCTCACACCTTTACTCCCATGCGCCATGTGAGTCGCTATCTTTGTCAGTTTGGACATGTTGAAAATAAAGGGGTTTTTTAAACGGAAAATTGTTGCTATACTTCGTTAAGTTGGCAGTAATATTTCTCAGAATTATATGATAAAGGGTTCAGATCTGGGAGATTCAAAGTTGCAGAATTAAACTGGGTATAATCTGTCCCTTTTATAGAAAGATTTATTGCTCTTCATGGGATT